GCACTGCCGCACTGCCGCACTGCCGCACTGCCGCACTGCCACACTCGCCACATTGCCACACCGCGGGCGAGAGCGAGGCGGCAAGCACATTGTACTAGTTAAGTATTGAATTGTAAATAGAGAGTGTCTGTGCGAGAGGGACGGAAGCAGACTGCAACTAAAGTGCGCTACGCAAATTTATTTTTCTGTCATATTTAGAAATATATAAAATATCTTCAGTTGGTCTAAGATTTTGTTATGAACAGATTTGTTTTAAGATAATTGTAATAACACACTTGTAAACATCACATGGTTTTTTACGGAAATTACGTTTGTTTTTGTAAAACGGTCTCCTTTCTAATTTGCGGAATTTAGACTGTCTCAAATGTAACTATAATGTAATCGATATCTGCAGTACAGTCAGCTGCATTAATGTGTATACATTTACAATACTTTAGAAAAATACGCCTTCGATTTCAATATTATTTCTGCATGTATTCGTTAACTAGTTAATATTCGCGACGTCGCGCTAAAAAAAAATAGTATAAATACCTATTTTACTCAGTGATAACGTAGCTTTTTAATGGTGCAAGAATTTTTGATGTCGGTTCAGTAGTTTTTGTGTTATTTCAATACATACAAGAACCTAAAAATACAAATTTTCTAGTTATAATAGATAGATATGGTACATAACAAAATCCGTAGTACATTTCTTTTAATATTTGTAAATGTATATATATGAGTGCGGCTGACTGTACTTTGTACAACTACACATACTATAACAAAAACATACAATAAATGGAACATTGCAACTGACGAAGGCATATTTGTATGAACTCTTTAGAGTTAAAAGACTTTTGTATAATATTTGTATAAGAGAGAGAGAGAGAGAGCGTCTGTCTCAACTGGAAGTCACTGACGTGACGTCACCCGCTTACAATGTACGTGTTAATACTTTAGTGGTTAATATAATTTTATCAATATATTTGGTGGTTTTATTTTGTACTACATTATGCCCCGGCCTCGTTCGTGCGGAAATAAACATAAAACTTACTACTATTTACTCAGTGTGTTTTAAATCTATCAAACTGCAAATCCGTTAAGTTTTATAGTTAAGTACAAATTTATAGCATTCACATTTATAAGTATAATCAACGCTTTTTAAAGACACTGTAACTTAAGAGAACATACTTTTATTAAGTAAGCCATCCATAAACAGAAAATCATTATTACTATAAAAAAAATCGTCAGTAACAAAGTACAGAATGAGGTCTGAGAGCGCCATCTCGCGGTGTAAAGTATCGAATGATGACGTCACAGCTGCACAGTGGCGCCACACAACTTCAATCTATTTCTATAATAATATAAAGAGGAAAGATTTGTATTTTTTGTATGTATTGTCAAATAACTAAAACTACTGGACCGATTTTTAAAATATATATAATATAATATAAATAAAATCATTAGAAAGGTAATTTATCTGTGAGTAATAGGTTATATTTTTTTACTATTTCATAATTCCACGTGGACGAAGTCGCGAGCGAAAGCTAGTTTATTACATTGCATCAGCTAAAAATCACGTCCAACGGATATGAGCCCGCTCCACAAGTTCAGTTTTAACAGAACGAACTGTACAATTTACTGACGTGTATAGCCAACATTTTAACACTCAGTATCAACTGTACTGATATATTTTTCAGTTAAAAAAAGCTGTGGAACGTGCTTAGTCAAATTTCAAATCCGTCAAAGAATAAAACATCACACTGTCTTTCCATTTGTCCGACAAACTGACAATCCGGTATCTTTTACGTATAAATAAAACGCAGATAAGAGAAAGTAAAAAATCGCAGGCTTATGTCGTCGATAAGGAGCATGGCCCATTTATGGGCTGTGTTCAGAGGGTGGCAGTACCGCCCTGGCCGAGATTTCTACATCCCCTTTTTAGCAGTTTAGGGCGTGAGGGAGGGGTGTAAACAGAGATATAATCTGCGGCGCTTCATTCAGTCAAGCACCCTAGCGGTCGCCCAACTGCACCCTACTTCTGCTCTGAACACAATTGATACTTGGAAAATAACTTGATATGAGGGCAGTGTCTTTAAAAGGTAATTTAGTTGGTAATAAAAAATGTTAATTTATAATGCCATGAGAGTAGTAACATTATTTTGTGTAGATATACGAGTATATAGCTAGACATGTAACCCGCCCTAGGCCGCTACAGTCTGAGAAAGGCAGAGACGATTCAAATATGAAACTGATAGTTTTAAGTATAAGTGTTTGCTTTTTTGTTTGTGTATTATTTTTTACCATTAATTAGAATAAAAGTAATGCAACAACACAACTCGAAACAACAAAAATGTCAGTAGAATGCTAGATTATACCAAACTAGTTTTCGCCCGCGAATCCGTCCGCATTGAATTAAAAACAGCAAAAGTAAGAAGCCTACGTATCCTTTAAGACTATCTACATCTATACAAAAATTTAATGGAGATCAGTTCAGCTGTTTAGGCTACAAACTCTAACAAACCATTTATCTAAACTTTCGCATTTATAATATTAGTAAGATTGCAGTAGTAAAATCAAATGAGGTTTAGTTCTTCTGACTAGTACACTCTGTGACTGTATTGTAGAGATGTGTCGGGACGTGTGCAAGTAAGAAGTGTTGCGACGATGTAAAACTTATTATGGGAACTCGATTATAGTCGTGAATGACGTCTAGTGTAACGTGGGATGCAGACATCGTGTCATGTTTGCATAATATTCATACGTTGTTCTTACTTAAAGTACATGCGAATGTGAAGCGTTCGACATTCGTAAATTATACAATCTATCGCGCAGAGTGGTCTGCGGTGAGACTTCAACAGACCGATGTTTTAATTATAATAACAAATGCGTTCAATTTAATGGTAATTGATTTGCAATGGCAGCGCTCTGCGGTCGCCGCCGCCGCCGCCGCCGCCGCCCGGCTGGCCATAGCTCGCTGCAATAGACATATTTTACCAATTACCATGGTTATTTCCCTATAACAATATCGAACTAATCGCTTGAAAGCTTGTGAACACAACGAAGTTAACATATGAAAAAATACTCTGTCATCATGCGTGTCTAATAACACAAATGATCCTTCCGTAATACATTTAGATTGAGTTATACGTGCCCGCTATCCGCCGCGCGATGTCGCTTCATTGAACTTTGACGATTGTATTGCCTACATTATTTAAGGACGCGAGTTTAATGGTCTAGAATAAAGAATATATTATACAGTAGATAGGCAATGAAATAAGAGCTGTATTAAAAAGGTCAAAAAAGATACTCGGAATAAAATATACTCAGTTTTAGTAAGACAAGTATCTATTACTACATATCATGTTTGCATACTAAAGCATGTTGTATTGGAGTGTGTTCGGAACGAACGTGTTAGACTCAACTATTTTAAGGGTTATGGATACAATGTCGGTCACTTAAACACTATCCTGGCTTACCCGTCTACGGACGAGGCCGGGATGGTGTTTAAGTTGGTCGACATCTGTTTAAGAAAACAGTCAGTTGGTTAAGTTTTGTTTGTTTTATGGGGCGTTATCGTCGCTTTGCGACCTAGCCCCCTGTAAAAATAAATAAAAAAAAGGTCTACACGATAACATCGCCATGACAGATTAAAAAAATTAACCTTTATTTTGTAATAAAAGTTCAATACAAAATGGACGAGAGAGCGTCATTACTTAAGCTTCGAAAAGGACCTTGATTTATCAAGACGGAGGCTTTTAAAAGCTCGTCCGAGTGAAGTGAAAGTGATTTGTTGTAACAGCGGGCTTTCAGCCTCACTAATGCGATACCAAATTGTCATGTAAATTACTCTCTGTGAGATTCGTGCATTATTTAATTCAATTGTTTCTATTGTTGGAAACCTCAGTGGATGTTCTGTTACTTGTAATATCGCTAGTTAGATTACAAACTAACGATGTTTAAGTAGAGTTTTGTTGTGACAGTATTTGTAGGGTGGAGACCAGGCGGGGTCGTTAGTAAACCTCTTCGTCAAACTAACAAGCGCCGCCGACGTGCGCTCCCTCAGTGCGGCAGAGTGGGCGCTTGTTAAACCAATCGACTGACTGAACTGGTCACCGCTGTCAATCTATGTTACATACAATTGTACCAACTTTAATACTTATATTGTACAACCAACAAAATTTCCTAACCAATATACAATTATGAACATAACCTACATATCACAAACCGATTGGAAAAAAACATTCACATGGGAAAGGGACCATAAACTACAAGCTGCCAACATTAAGGAAGCAAGGTTATTATGGTAACGGTAATTTTGACATTTGCAATTGAGAATTTGACAAATGTAAACAATAAAAAAAAGATTTCATAATGTTATGCGGATGAAGCCGCACGGGAACAGCTAGTGTGTTATAATAGTAATATGTTTTTTGTTACTTTTATAAAAACTGAGATTCAGGGTATAAAGAGGGTGTAGGTAATGTTCGTGAAAGTGTACTTGGGACGGGACACGGGAAGGGCGGTCGCGGTCGCGGTCGCGGTCACGGGAATATAAAAAGCGTATCGACTAAATGATTCGAACAAGTCAAACCGAATTCACGTAGATTAAGAGAGAACTTTTTCATCATAGACCACTTAATCTCTAAGTACCATTTTTATAAGGAAATGTAGACCGGATTTTATAGTTTAAGTTGTAGTTATGTGATTAGCTTAATTGATTGTTATCACTGCGATTTAATCCATCTAAACATTGTATTTCTTCTTGCAGAATGCAAGCTGCACGTAGTGACTTTAGTGACTGTTATTCTAAACAAAATATAGCTAAAGTGAGTTCAGTGTGCGAGGGATGTCGCTAAGGGCGCGTGGAATTAATTTCCCTTTTGTGAGACGTCAGGAAGTTAGCTCTGTTGTGCCGAATGACTCGCTGAGGAAACACAATCATTGAGGCGCTTTTGTAAAATGCCTCTTGAACTAGGACCCTTCGCTTGACGCGCGTTTATATTTCTATTATCAAATGAACAATTCGTCAATTTCCTGAAGGAAAAATACAAAAGATTTTCCACGAATGAGTTTTACGATTCAACGTTTGGATTTGACATCCGGAATGTCTGGCGGGAGTTTTAGAAGGTTCTTTTGAAATGCTATGAAAGAAGCTTAGATGAGGTGTGCTCAGTACTAATGAATTGTAATCTCCGAGTGCAGACTTTGCATTCTGTTAGATGTCAGCAGTCAATTAGCCGCCGACAAAGACAAGAGATTTCGCTCTACGATTTGAAATTTTATCAAGTTTTTAGCAACAACTCAAAAATATTGACAGTGTATTTAATTCTACGTTTTCGGCTATGAGAAATGTTTCCAAATTGTTTGTTTGTGGCTACTTAACATCGGGGTTAGTTTAGTTTTACTAATCTTCGTACATATAATCTTTCCAAAAAAACCTGATCGTGTGTTGTAGAGGTTTCCCTGTCAGTTGTCAGTACACGTGTAAGCCGCGGAGTTGTGTTGACAAGTAATGTGAGAATTTAATCCCATTACACAATTCAATGCATTTAACATCACATTATAATATCAGTGGGGATAATAGTGAAGGCAAGGAGAGAAAATAGCAAATTGTCCATATAAAAAACAAAAATTATGTCCAACTCAAAATAATTCTTATAAAACTATTTTTATATTAAGTTAATCCGATAATTTTGTACTCGTAGTTCATAGTGCTCCTGCTCGTTGTAACGATTTGTTAAAAATAATTTAATAGAAATAATTGCATATATTATCGATGTTGAGTGTAACGTTTTGCTGCAGAATTTAATATTGAGGCACAGAGTAACAAACACCGCGATGTTTGTTTGGTTCTCCAAATATGTATTATCCTTGTAGTCAAAAAAAACTTTTCTGAATGGGTATTCGTTTATTACACAATAGCAACATTATTACAATCGATAAATACACTTTTAACTAATAGAAATAATAAAACATATTTGACATTTACATGCTTCTGTTAGTAGCTACACTGTGGCTCCCGTTACGTGTAGGTTCTCACAGGCGTTACGGCACGACACGACGCGGCGATAAACGTGTTATCACACAACTCAATTTAACGCCGTCTGAGAGCTGAGCCAACGCAATATGCAACAAAATGTTACCTTCATACATTACATGTCTACACAATAAATCACAAAACAAACCGTACATAATGGTTTAATAGTCGTCAGTTGCAGGTAGATTGAGTACACAATGAAATATAGTTACAATTGATTCTAAAAACCAATGAATGGGACATAAGCCAATTAAAAATCAAATCTGTTTCGACTAATTGTGACGTTGATGGACTGCGACGTCACAGTGAAGTGGCCAGTCGATTGGTTGGAGCGTGGCCGCATTGTCCCGCACTGCCGCCCCCGACTATAGACACTGTACTCACTCTGCACAGAGTACACAATGTACATAGTGTACAGTACAGACAATGTACTGTCAAGTGTTGCAGATAACTGGCAGCATTTTAAGAGTCGTAGCAATAAGCCCAATTCGAACATTTCAATTATCTTCATGATTTGATAGCTTCAATGGCCATTGAATTGTCGGTACTAAATAACGATGCAAGAGTATTTTGTATTAATCCCAAACCTATTCATTCTGAAGAAGGACGCCGACTGATTTGACAACAGTCGTTGCCGTCACAAAATTAATAACTACACTGTCCCTAGGATAAAAATTAAACTGTAGGTCATCTTTGGGCCTTTGGGTTCTAGAAGTCCACGTTGGTAGCACGCACTTATGTAACCTGTCTCTCGTGTAAAATCGTAGGATATCCTGGGTTGCTATGATGGCTGACAGGAGTCAGGTCTCCTTGCTGTTGGTAGCGCGGTAGACTTGTGGCACGTAAAGGGAGTCAGAGCGGCGCTGCGCGTGGCGCGCCATCGCCCGCCGCAGCAGCGCGTACAGCAGCCGGATGCGAGGATGCACCGCCACTTTGAACGTCTGCAGCCGGCGGACCACCTCGCCAACCTGCACATATTCACTAGACCAGGGGTGGCCTTGGTACACGTGCCATAATTAGCACACGACATATTTTGGACACGTCTATAATCATATATGTATAACGAAAAAAATATGAAGTAGATGCACAATAGAATTGACGTAATAATCTCAGTCAAAATTCTGAACAGTGGTAACTACAGTGTGCATCATGTCTTAGACCAGAAATTTGTAACCCTCTAACTTGTAGTGTTGTTGTCGTTTAATCATTTTTCACCTTATAAAATAAAACCCTAGTGAGGCGTAGTAGATATAATGTAAAGTAAGTGGTACAGATACTTACGCTGTCGGCGAGGCTCTGGTCAGCTTTGATCTTGCTGAAGTCGCGGTCCATATTGAACACGTGAGTACTGCACTGTTTATGACATTGATTTGTAATTTTTGATAGCAAATTAACAATTTATTTATGAATAAATTACTTACTACTGTTTGTAATAAAACGTTGAAAATGAATATGCATGTGAGTTCTTGTAACATTTCCTTACAGTGAGTGGAGACAGTGTCGGGGGACGTACAGGTAAGGTCGTAAAGTATTTCACGGTGACCGCTATCGCTGTGATTGGAATATTGATTGCTATGTTGTAGAACTATGCTGATGGTTTACTATATCGATTAGAAATCTGTAAGCTCTCGTATCCCGAAATATTTTTTAATACCGGATATAAATGTTTTTAGATTTTAATTAAAAAGAACTGCTTAAAGCATCAAGATATATGCTCGTCTTCAATAATAAAGTTTTCTCCAGGGTTTGCGAATGACGACACAAAAGTAGCGCTCGCCGCGCCCCCTAGGGACCTGCAGATGGAAGCGACAAAGTGGTTGCAGGTGCTTTGCTGTGTGGAACATTAAACAATATTCATTAGAATACTTTTAAAATGATTACTATCTTGCCATTGTTTTATTTTGTTAATGATGTCTAAACAATTCCGACAGATGGCGTTTTGATAATACACTATTAAAATTAAAGGCTTGTAAATTTGTATAATTATTAAAAACGAATTTAGGTTTTGTTATTCACGAAAAGTAAGAAAATTGAAGTCCGTACAAAATGTATCGTTCGTGTTCAGAGCTGGCCGAGGTCCTTAATGTAAAATATGTTTTCTCCAATATTAACATTTCCTTACTTCCTGTTGTCCGCGGGAATATTTATCTGTCAAGGGCAGCGGGAGGTATCCTTATTGCTATACTTTGCTGACAGAAACTCAGTAACATAAATCATTGTTTTTATATTCTCTTACATTTTCTGATCTTGTAGATATCATTTATGGGTACTTTTTCATGTTTCAACTTGATTGAATCTTTAATAAGCTATTCTAACATTGAATACGTTCTTTATTGTGTATATTATGATGTTTAAATGGTCCGTCACAGAGAATTCAAATCCAAACTGCCGCTGTTCCAACACGTTGATTACTAACAACAATATATTTGATTTTCAAACGAAATTGGCTCGCCATTATTAATCTACCGTGTATAGGGGATAAATGGGGGGTGCGTGAGGGGGGTTTGTACAAATGATTTGTCCCGGCCGCAGTGATCACATCGCAAGCAATTAGTTCCCGCTGATGGGTTTTGTTGCCTACTGTACACACTACGCACTACGCACTATGAGCTACGAGAAATGTACAGTGCGGTGGTCAACACAATTATATAATACTTGTATTTTTAAACTTTGTAAGATAAAATCGTTATAATTCACATTTCCCCTGCGTAACATTTGTAGATTCTGTCGAGTTACTGAACGGAAATTGTGAGACAAACGGAGATTTATTTGTCTGTACCCCCCACGCCTCTCCCCGCTCCCCGCAGTGCCTCGACCATGACAACCTGTTACCCACACCCCTAGGTTTGATTTGCTGGTCATATTTGTATTATATTGTAATTTGATTTCTTGAAGAAATTAATTTTAACTTTTGATGTAAAAATGTGCATAGACCATCAACGTTTCCGTGGTGTAGTGGTTATCACATCTGCCTAACACGCAGAAGGTCCCCGGTTCGATCCCGGGCGGAAACATATCTTTTTAGTAAACATCTAATTACCATGTTCAAAATTATTTTTATTT